TAACAGTAAAATAAAATAAAAATATTTCAAAGGCACGAATTTTACAGATTCTGCGCGCTTGGCTGAGCAAAAGTCTTTTAAAATATCATTTTTTACAAAAATATGGTTTGCCCCAGGTTTATGTTAAAAATGCCTGTTTTAAGAGGTGGGCAAACGAATATTTTATTCTTACTTGTTAGGAGATGGGCAAACATGGTCATATTTGCAGGCAATTATGTTCAAAAAAATTGGAAAAAGTCAACTTTTATGTTTTCAAAAAAGTTTGAAAATTTTCAAAGATTCCGTATTTTTAAAACTAAAGGTGGGCAAAAAAAAAAGTGGGCAAAGATGGGTCAATGATTAAGCTATTCCAATTTCTAAAATTCGATTTCAGTCGACCAAACTTCTTTGAGCTTTTTTGTAATTACTGCAAGGGTAATTTATCTTGTTCAGGATAAATTATATTAAGTCCCTAAAACTTCTGTGGTAGTTTCGATTATAATAAAACCGAAACTTGTTTAAAGAATATTATATTGTTTCTGATCATCATTTCCATTACCTTTCTAGCCCCATATACCCAATTATTACAGGGTATCTGCAACTCTGGCACTCTCCACCGCCTGGCAGTTGATCTAGTCTGCTGCTCGTTTCACCTGTTGCTGATGCCGAGCTGCTGTGCCTGTGATGGTGCTGGAATAGCAAACCCCATTCCGCATCCACGCCCCGATCGCTGGCATGCACAACATAAATTCAGGGGCTGGCACACTTGGGTGTTGCGCTGGGTTCCAAACCCGAACTCCAGCCGCCAGCTCCATCTCTCCGGGAGCTCCTGCTGCTGCACTAATTTATAGTTTGCGGACTAGCTGAGTGACTGACAGGCAGGCAGAAAGACTGGCAGGCCAGGAGGACGCTGCGACAGACGGACAAATTATTTGCTTGCCTTCGCGGCCAAAAAAGGTTGCTACCGGTTCGATGGAGGCTCGCAGAGATTCAGAGCCGAGGTGGATACTAAGGCATTTCGCTGGCAGCCAAAACTGAATGCAAAGCCCGAGGTTGACAGGGCTGGCTTGACGATAAGCATCACTGCGATACACTGGGCACGCAGTGAGGCCTGCGCATCTACGAGATACTTTGTGTTCCTTATCGCCGATCAGCTTGTTTCGGACGTTTTCTCGTGTAATTTGCGCCTCGTCGCCTGCTCTGCATACAAATGAGCGGACGAAATTCCCTTAAAAATACAAAGCTTAGTGCTCGAACACTTGCTGTTCGGGACCCAAATCCTTTAACCAAATACAAGCGGAGAGATTCAATTAAAATTATGATTTTGCATAAATCGAGAGCATGGGAACGGATTCGGGGGAGTCGCCACAATTTGTATCTAATGAATCACTTGGCCGCAGCTAACCGCAAATTAAATGGTCTTCGACAAAAGAAACCCATGCGCTGTTAACTCGGATTCGTGGGCGGCGCCAAGTCGAAATGAAAAATGCTGGGTTGCCTTTGTTATTGCCACTGGATTTTCGGTTACGACTTTATCTTTCATTTGTGGTTAGAAGTGATGAATGAAAATCCCAAGAAAATAAGCCAAACCAAAATGCGTGTGCCAGAAAACCAAAATTGGAAGATGGAGGAGAATTTGGGTATGAGAGTTACCAGACTGAAGTTCATTAAATTCTTAAATCCGTAAAATATGCAAAGGCGTGCCCGGGCAAAGCAGATTATCAGGGGGCAACTGCTGCAAACTGACTTTTAATATATGATAATTAATTCATTATCGATGCTGTGACTCTGAGACGGGCCAGACGGGCAGCCGAGACAGCGCTGACAAGGATTTCACTTGCAATTAAAACGAACAAGGCACCAGAGTTGCAGTCCCAGCTCCTTGTTCTCCTGGCAGACAGACAGGCAGACGGGGCTCCTTCGAGGCAGCTTTCATTCATTAAAGCGCGCCCCAAACTGAGCCCCGACATGGACTAAAAACTGATTATCTGCATATAAGCCAACTAAAAACTGGATACAGCCGGGCCACTCGGCCAGCCTCAGCGGCTTAAAGGCAAAAAATAATTGCCCAGAACTGTTTAACATATCACGAGAGCCGGGATAAGGGGGCAACTGCCGTCGAGTGAGTCTTTTATAAAAATTCGCAACATGTCATTGGTGCCGAGATGCCGTATCGTGAGGCACCCTCAACTCCTGCGGACAGAGAGCATTGTCTGCTCAGGACATGGACATGGACATGGTCGGGCATCGACGTGGACATGTCAATGTCTATCTATCTGCCGCTGGCCCACTCGTTCTCCTGTCTCCGTAGTTTACCGTCTCTGATCCATATCGCCTGAAAGTTAACGCTTTAGCGGCTTAAACATGGCTTTTAGCGTTAATTAACAACGAATTTTCGCAAAAATGCAAAATGCGCAGAGCAACAGGAAGCTGGCTGAACAACAAGTAGACAGAATGTTCGGTGACACGAAACCGATAAGCCGGTCGGCCAACCGCAACAACATCGATGGGCTAACAAGTCGAAAACATCGAAGTTCAAGGACCCTCGAGGGAGATTTGCATTCCCAAATGCCGTCTGCCATTCGAGGTTTTTTCGCATTTTTAACGGGCAGCATTATTCATGTGGATGGGATATAAAAACTGTTATAAGGCAATTGTGTGCCAGTTAATTTACCATTTTATTGATTTAATTTAAGCCTCTTTGAATGTTTGCTCATTTTAATTGGACTTGAGTTAAATTATTGCTTCCACTCCAGTGTTTATGTCGTTAATGGGAATTTATTTACCAGGTTTAGCTGCTCTGAAAATGATTTAATTTATCGTTCACATTCTTCTGGTAAACTAAACAAAATGTAGTTATCTTTATTTCTCTTTTATTAAATACATTTTTATTACGATGGTTTTATTGTAACATTGATGGTAAAGTAATAGCTTGTTGCCAAATAAGATGGTTGCAATATAAGAAAATACTTACGTGAACAAACTAGTAAACTAGTTTTCAGAAATAAACGGATAACAATGCAAATGTTTTAATAAAATATTCAGTTTTTATTCAAGCAAACTAAAAATTAACAAAATGGTTCAAACATTCCTTAGTTAGATAGATCTACTATATACACGCATATTGCTAGTTTAGGCCAATATTAGACTGCATTACAGTATTACACAGCAGAGGGTCAAGCGGTCTCTCTGATAAGCTAAGATAACTTAAACGTAGACTAGACCATTAATTTAACTACGTACTATGTCGATTGGAAGAATCCGTGTAACGCTATAGGGAAGCACTTGGAAGTGTGTTGGAATTGCAAGACCTAGAGCTACAGTAAAACTTATACCATTAGGAAGCACATCTGTCCAGCTGGAAGCTGCTCTATATAAATATATACAAAGAACCTTTCGTTGCTCGTATACCATAAACTTAATCATAAATCACAGTGGCGAGATTTGTTTTTGACGCCTGCCCCATCGGTTCACAACCGATCCAGCGCAGACGTGCGCCTGCAACAGCCAAATGGGATCCCCTGGGATCCGGATCGGGGTCACCCAGCTCATCTCGGCGGGCAGAAGCTGAAGTAGGGGAAGAGCTGGCAGTGCAGCGAGTAGAATCGCTTGGGATCGGTCTTGAGATCGAAGCCGTCCACCTTGATCACGTTCCACTGGTTCTTCATGTGCGCATAGCTGAAGGACACCTGGTCCTGGAACGTATCCTGACGAATGAACTCCATGGGCTCCAAATGCGAATGGAAGTTGTCCACCACTGTTAGCGGCACTTTCAATAGGTGCTCTGTTAAAATACATAAGTTAGGGTTAGGGGTTCAAGGTCTTTGGTGTCTCCAGGCCGAACTCACCTATTATAAAACCCATTGTGACATCATCCGGAAAGCGTATCTTGTCGCCGATGCTGATAAACTTGCCGCCACCTGCTATGGGCAGCATTTTTAAAGTCAGGGCCCGGCTAAGACAGAAGCCAGCGCCGCCAGTGGCGAACCAGAAAGTTATCTTCTTGTTGGTTGTCGTGTTCTTCTGCGGGTCGAAAAAGAGTGGAGAAGGGGCAAGATTAACGGAAGAACTGGCTCATGAATGGTTTCGAAAGAGGATGACTGGACCAAAGGATAAACTCAAATAAATATCCCTTGTTTTTGGTCTTATTTCTGGTTTTTGGCAATGGCCCAGAGAAAATTGACTTAAAATTAAAACTTGAAAAAAAAAAGAATGCCAAGCCAAGCCAAAACCCGAAACGTGGCTTGATTAATTGACCATGTAAATGGACATGTGCGAGCTGGAAACTTAATACATGGGTCTGGCCAAAGCGTAAGCCGAGACTTGACAGGATCTTTCTCCCGCAAATGAAGCGTAAAGTTTGGGGCTTTTTAATTATGCACGCTGCTCCGATCAGGGTTGGATCGTTGTGCCAGTTTTTGAATGGGATTGGCCCCAGTCGTCTACCTGGTCTCTGTTGGCTCACATCCCTGGCTAAACTGGCTAAGCCGATAAAACTATGGCCTGCACATTCATTACGGGATCAGCTGGCGATATTTTAAATGGCCTGGACTGGAAAACGGGTTCAAATTCGGACTCAAACTGGGACTGCGATTCAGACTGCTGGCTGGCTGCTACTTTTGCTATTGCTATTGCTTTTGCCGCGCCAGATCATATCGGTTATTAATGATAGCCTGCGCTGGCAGCTGGAAGCCAAATGGCGGCATAGACAAATGGCCATGGTGGCCACATAAATAACGGCTCCACTCGGTTTCGGGCCGGGCCGTACCGTGCCGGGCGGGCTTAGACCAGAAGATGGAGAAAGGCGATCGCAGCCAGGCTTGTAATTACGAACTATATAGGAAAATAGGAAGAAATAACAGGCATTTGCACTTACGCTGTCCAAGTGGATCTCCAGCGGCGACGAGATGCTCGGCTTGCCCAGATACCAATCCACACTGGGACTATACTCGTCCAGCAGTTTCACCAATCTCGGCACATTGACATAGTTGTCATCGTCAAAGTGACAGAACCATCTGGAAAGAACAGAAAATTCAAACACAAATTAGCATACAATTCGAACGGATGTTTATCTAAAGTTACAACTTTTATTCAGATACTTAAATACTTAATTTACAAGCCACAATGCCCGTTAACGTGGAACTTACGTTGGAAGAGATGACTAGAATTGCTTTGGGTGTGCCCGAGTTGACCCACGTAAATGTGGCAGTATTACACAGTCTGTTGAATGTCTTGCTCAAGAAACTCAACTGCCAGAATGACATGGTGAGCATTCGTGGCTTCGAGGGCAAGTGCATGGAGCGAATCCTCGAGCAATCCAAGATCTCACCCCTTCCCTTTGATGTGGAGGCAATTGTGCCCATTTCCGAGCAACTGGACAAAGTCCAGGAGCTGGAGCAACGCATCAAGCAGCTGGAAACCAAACTGGAGTGCCATTTCCAGCAGATCCGTATTTGCAACAGGGTCAAGGACAAAAAATTCAAGATCCAGCAGGCCGAACAGTATGCCTCGCCCTGCGAGGATCTTTGCACCGTCTGCGATGAGGACAACAAGATCGCCTGCAGTCTGCTGGGTAACATGGATTTCATGAAAAAGCTAATGCGGCGCATAGCCACCCCGATTCTGGACCAAATGGAGGAGGTCAGCAAGAAGCTGGAGAAATTCTACATCACACTGCAGGCTTTCCTCAAGCAAACCGAAGCTCTGTTCAAGCGCTTGGAACTGGTCAAGCAATGTGTGGTGGAGATCGAGAACCTACGAGCTCTTGTCCAGGAGTACAACCTAACCTTCATTGGAACCATGGAGGAACTGCAGGACATGCTGGATAGTAAACTGGACAAGGTGCATATGCCGGCCCTGAAGAAATACATTCGAGATCGCTTCGATGACATTGATCGGCGATTGAGATTGATTGAGGACAAGGACGCCTGTCCAAGAGCTGCTGGATTTATCAATACGGATATTTGCTGCCTGTCCTGTAATAATACCAAGGTCGGTGTCGATGTGGGTCCCCAGATCATGGGCGTTTTCCCTGATGCCCCGGTTAGGAATATGCCCCAGTTGGCGGGTCAGCCTCAGAATTGCCAGAAGACCGTGGTCTGCCGAGCCGTGGAAAAGGAACCCACCCTAATGGTTCGGGTAAAGAATCTCGATCTCAAGGTCATCGCCCATCGACTCAATCGTCCTGCTTCGAGCAAAGTCTGCAAACTACCCGAAGCCAACGATGCCATCTATGGCGTTCGCAATTCCTGTCTTTCTGGTTTTTAACAACCGCTAGTCCCGATCCAAATCGATTCGTTTAGGCAATAAAGCATATATGCGGCCCCCCTCAAGGCTGTTTCCGTTAAGCCGCATAAAAAGTGCACTAATTTAGATAGCAATTACCGGGTTGGAGGTACTGGTAGTGGTATAGCCCGATAAAGATCGCAAGTCGACGACTGCAGCTGCAGTTTTTATAGTGACAAACGATCAGCCATATCCGGTAGCCCACGGTGGACTAATGATGGCATTAAGCGGCAGCTGAAAGGTCCACGCTGACCATCATTATCGTGGGCCCTGGGTGCAGTTCCCTGTTCGACGGTGGGGTTCCCCGGCCTTTGGGGAGAGATTGGTAATGCGGGAATTCGCTTAAAATCCAATGGGGGGTTCGATAAAGAGAAATTTGCAAGTCATACTCTACAGAACTATGGCTAACCAGCTTTAGTACGCTTTCTGTTTATCTTAATCAGCAGCTTGTTTAAATAAAACATTGCTTAAACTGCTTACATTTAGCTTAAAGATTTTATCTATTTAAATAAAGTTCTTTGCGGACTAACAAGATTACATTTTAAAGAAGAGATCTGAAAACAGACTATAAATAAATCTAGTTTTGCAATGTATTATAAGAAATAAGAATGTTTTTTTAAACTTCGACTAAATAACAAAATGTTTTAATTTTCATCTTTAATAAAAATTGTATTTTATTCAAATTTTCAATACATATTTACGACCAAAAAGTGTATTCTAAACTTCGACTAACCAAGCACATTTCTTGGGGATTCGCGACTTTCGTTGAGCTCGTAAGTATTCAATAAAATCGAATCGAATCTTGGAGGATTGGCTTGTCTTGTCTTAGCTTGTCGTTGCGTCTGTTGGGTAATTTAATATAATTTTTATTGCATAAGCCGCGACTAGACGGAGGTGAGAGGGCGAAGGGGAGGTGGATATATTGTGTGTGTGGTACTCAGATAGTAGATGCTACTCCTAAGCCTGGCATTCATAAATTGGCTGCCTGGATGATGTTGCTGCTGCTGTCTGCGACTCTTGCTGTTGCTGCCGTTGTAACTGCCACATGCGATACCTGTGCGAAAAGGCCGCGGCTCCCCAGTTCCTCCCTCTAAGTCCCTCCTACTTATTTCCCTTCCTTTTGCCTTTAGTCGCTTCGTGACGCATAAAAATGCGCGTTTAATTTGCTTAATTATGCACAGAGCATACATAACCCAGTCCCCCTCCCCGATTTCTTCGTGGGCAGCTGCTTTCCCTGTTTTCCAAATTGAAATCTAGACGCTAGTTTATGTTCGTTGTCGTTTAATTAACGCTAGCCCCCCTCTTTGATTTCATTGGCATTTATGAAAATGTTTTCATTCGGCGGTTCTTTCGATTCGGGTTATCGATTCGGGGATCGCTGATGGTGGCTTTTCTCTATTTCTTTGCTCCGAAATTGTTTGTTTGTTTTGAGTTTGTCTGTTCTCTGTTTCTTTGTTTATCTCGGCATCGGATTGCACTTTAATGCACTGAAGATAATTAATTTGTTCATCTTGAATAGGCTCTTAATATTTTCTTAACTGACATTTCTGACATAAATCTTCAACAATTTGAAAGTACTTAGATTTTTTTTTTCAAAAAGTAACTAATTGAATTACATATAAAATAAATTTTAAGAATATGTATTTTTTTTTAATTAATTTTGAAAATTATAAACATTTATATAAAAATTGTTTATATTATGAAAAAATTATTATTTCTATATCAATTCTTTTGAATATTGATTTAATCGAATTCTAGCAGCAGTATCTTGCTGCAATTAATGCATCTTATAACCAATAATAAAACCATAAGCTAACCAAATTTCTCCCTGTGCATATGAATGTGTGGCCGTTGGCCGAGAAAAATTGAAATGCGAAACGAGTGCAAACTTTAGTTTATTTCCATAGCCGTTTTTCCAATTACTCGCGCTGCTGCAGCAGCTGCTGTTGCCATATAGATATATAGTTATACAGCTCTGGCCGACGCTGTTGCTGCTGATGTGGGCAGATTTCGATCAGTTTGCCAGCTGGGCTCTTTCTTCCAGAACCGCCCCGCCCCGACCCACACTTAGCCCCCTTTCACCCACTAAAAAATAAACCCGCTGGCGGGGCGTTGGCGGCTGCGTCGTCATTCCACATTGCAGGCGAAATGAGTTTATGTCTGGGGCCACAATAAAAAATGATTGACGGGGCACTTCAAGTCGGCCGAAGGAGATATATCTGGAGTTGCAGGCGGCCCAAGACGGGGCTTAATAGATTTCGCATTAAGAGCGGCAGGCAACTTAGTAACGAACGAACTGGCCGCGCTAAAAGTATTTTGACAGCCGGCCGGAGATAAGCGATCGCCAAAAACCTCGACAGACGACGATGACGAACTGATTTCATTCGGATATGTTTTTGTTTTTTCGACTCCACTTCTTGACTTCTCTCCTTTCGGAATGAGCCAGTCCCGGGGTCTCCTGCAATTAGCAATAAGTCAGCTGTCATCTGCCCGAACAGCAGAAAGTATCTTTCGGGTCTCGAGTTTCGCGGATTGATACAAATCAATGTGTCATGATGTCTGTGGGGGCAGACAACAAGATATTTACATTAAGCAGCAGTCCGACCACTTAAATCAACCAAAATGTTTGCCTCATTAACAGGGGCAGCCACAATACTGGTGACTGCATCGCGAGCTGAAAGGGAAATCAATCTTCCCACTTCCAATGCAGTTTTCGATGCTTTCCATTTGGAGTGCACGGAGAAAAAGGTTTTTTGACTTGACCTTTAAAGATTATTAAATGAGTAATCGGATATCTTTTAAATCACAGATCATAGTGGAATTTGTGAAAATGGTTTCGTTTTTAGCCTTCTCAAAAAGAAATACGAGTTTTCTTTGTTGAATATGAATGTAATAAATAATAATAAATGTAATATTAAAAGTTACAGTTTCTGAGAGACGCCTTGAAAATACTTTGTTTTGATTTCGTTTTTCCTGCTTCTAATATAAATAAATCAAATGGTACGTATTTTTAGATACAGAAACTTTAAATGTTTATGAATTTATATCATTTTTTCTTTGTGCATTTAAATGAGTCAGAATTTGCGAAGCTGTGCGCCTGCGCATCTACAAAAGCATTTCTCTTGGGCGGCTGGCCAAACAATTGAAACGCATTTGTCAACTGGCGTCGGCCGAGCCTGACAAAGCAAATCATTAATTCTGAGACAGTGTATCCGTATCTTGTGGATGCGCGCACTTGAGCCCGCAAATTGAAGGCAATTGCCGGCGATTATGCGAATGGTTGTGGCTGTGGGTGTGGGTGTGGGTGTGTGTTGGCGAGAGGCGCTAATTGAAATGTAGAGCAAAGCAAAGCCACTTCCCGGATGTGGAGTAGCAATTGCATTTCCTAGTCCAACTCCATATGCATATACATACATATTGCTGTTGCAGTTGCAGTTGCACAGTTGCAATTGCGGTGAAATTGCCTGTTTCCGCTGCCACAATTCCGACAAAGATTTCAGCATTTTTTTTTTATGCGCCGAGCATGTCAACGACAAATGCATGTTGTTCTCCCTTTCACCATTGAAATCAATTGAATAATTGGGATTGTTGTGGTGCTGCCACAAGTGGCAAATAAATGAAACTGATGCGTTTCTAAGCGGTGTGGGGAAGTGTCGCCACGGTTCCATTTTCCCCCCCAAAGGAAAACTGGCAGTTTCACACGCAGCTCTTTACTCTCTCTATAAATAGCTGCCCCTGGCCGCAAAAACCGTGGAAAAGAGGGAAAATTTTCTCACACATTGCGGCCACATAAGCATCTGGCTTTCCACATATGCCACCATGGGCAACCCTCCAGCCAAGAAAGTGCATTAGCAACATCAAACCACGATTAAAACTGTCGCAGCCATAGATGGATTTATACGTATGTGGATCGAGTGCGAGCGACTCTATTATTTTATGGCTCAGTGTGGGATTAACCCCACGTCGAAGACGAAGTCAAAGGCGAAGGGTGAAAAGGGGGGCTGTCTGCCCTGGGAAATTTCCTTGATGAACCGTATCGAAAACCGGGCGAATCGAATTCCCACGCATCCACAGACTTTAAAGTAACATGCAGCATTAACGGCATCATCAGCAGGGCTTGATTGATGCCAATGCCCCAACCATACTTCGGCACCATTTCTTCTGCCCCATTTACATTTTATGCTGTGAATATTACGCATATTACGTGTTGTAATTACACCGAGGGCTCGGAATCCTCCGCTCTTATTATGTCAAAATGTTGATTACGAAACGTGCTCGGTCGAGAGAGTAGCCATGCCAAGTATCCGTGAGATGTGAGATGCGAGGTAACCTCGGATTGCAAATCAGATAAGTGGCCGTTTATACAATTGCCTGACAAGTTTTGCGCCTCAAACATTAGGTGTGGCCAGAAAGGCACACACCCAAATCAAAACGAGCACACAAACGGCGGACAAGAGATAAATTAGAACATGAAACAAATAAATCGAAAGAGATTAGGCCAGGCAGCTTTGAGAAAGGAATTTAGAGTCGAGAAAAACACACAAAACTAATTAATAAATACCCGAAGCCCTGAGCCAAAGGCAAATGTCGCGCACAGTGGGGCACATCGAACCTTTGGCGCCTCCGTGGCCTGGAATTTCGATATGTGTTCATAATTGATGATTGCTGTCGGTTGGATTTTACTTCAGCTCAGAGTGGGAGTTCCGATGGAGTCTTGAGTGACGGGCCAGGTCATCGCCTAGTTGTCTGTCCGTGTGTCTGTCTCTCTATGACTTGCAGTTGCTATTGTAGCTGCTGTAATTTTAATTAAATTGCACTAATTGTTTGGTATTATAATGGATACCCAACACCGACAAGCAGCAACAGCAGCAGCAACTCGGCAACAGCAACTGCAATTAGCCATTCAAGGCGAGCGAAAGGCGTTCCCCGGCCACCGCACAGTGGGGCAAATACTTCATGCTTTATGGCAAATAAATTCACATTACACGGGCACAAAACGCAATTAAAAAAACTGGCTGGATTTGCATTTAATAGTGCTACTTTTGCCCGGGACGCCCCACGGTTGCGCCCAAAACCAATTGGGAGCAA